CCCCAAAACCCCAAAACCCCAAAACCCCAAAACCCCAAATGATCGTTATTATGAAAAATACTTGGTTAATGAGAATAATAATCAAGAAATTAAGTCTAATAATTACATATAGAAATAAGTTCATATAAACTCATAGCTTTTAAAGTCTTTGACGACCCAGAAAGGATGTTTACCTCTTTGATGGGCTGAGCATTGCTCGAATTCATCATCATACCTTTGCTCTCCTTCAATCTCAATGTCATCAAAGCATCTCTCGCATAGATCAAAGTCACTGCAGTAGGCGCATTTGTACCTGTTTGAATCGAAGAAGGACTTGCAGGCATCACATTAAACTGCTGTGGCTGAGAATCTCTTAGTCATATCTCGCTTCACTACATTCTAAGCTATTAAACTCTCTATATGTCTATCGCTGCTTGCAAATATCTATGGCTCTTCCATTCTTGAAGCACAGTTATAACAATAGTTGTGAGTTTGCTCATTGTTCTCATTCATAAGGATGTATTGTTGTTCATTCTATAGGTCTACGTTACACTTCTCACAGTTATTAATGCACTTTACACTCATGATAGGTATTTCTTAGACATTGAACTTAAAGTAAAATCCTTCTCCCTTGAATTCTTCTAGCTTTTTATCGAGCAACTCCTTTACAATCTTTAAGTCATTGGACTTAGCTTTTAGATTTATAATGAATGAGGCCTTATGACCTTAGTTTAAGCTCAGACTTGCGTCATATCTTCTTAAATTTAGGACGATGATCCCTTTCCAAGGGAATGCCATCAATATCTATCTTAGATTTGGGTACTGTTCTTCATTTGTAGCCAAAAATGTGTGGAAATACTCTACAATTGAGTTGAATTTTTCCTAAAACTGGGCTGAGTCGGTATATATGAATGGCTCCTTGATCCTTTAGGTAAACGCTTCTTTTTTATTATCTAAAATTAATGCCTTCAGTTTCAAGCCAAGCTTATCGACACTCTTTTTTGGTTAGGCATATTATATGACTCCTTGTGAATCTGCAACGATGATAAATGGTGTAGTGCTAGCAGCGCTGCGGACATTTCTGACGAATCTTGTGGCAAACAAGTTGTTGACTTATGAAAAGTTGCTATCTCTTAGGAAAGTTACATTTACCTTATCTATCAATATCTTTTGAATAGTCTCGTTATACAAGAATATTCTGTCTATGTTTATTGCTAAGCACTTGAAGGTTGAGCATTGCTGTTTTATTTCAAGAGTTAGGCTGTTTATCTGGCTTAGATAATCCTCTAAGTTCGGGCATTATGTACTCCAGAGAACTACTAGAAGGTTTGATCTATCTTCCTAGGTGCTCAGCAGTTTTTGCTCAATTTCTTTTTGAATGTGAAGCAGCCCTCTGATCTCAGGGAACTTATCATTCTTCACATAACCACTCTCAGCCAAGGCAATGCAAGTGGACTCATCGTAGTTTTATTATAGTGATCTCATTTACTGACTGAACTTTTCTACGTTATCAGATTTACTGATTGAGAATAGATTCTCACTGAATAGAAATTCCTCTGATGAGCCTTAACCTTTCATAAGGTTCATGCCAATCTAGATTTAAGTCTCAATCTTAGCATCAGTTAATTCATTTGATTGGTAAAGGTTTGAGAGTTTAGTCAAGTAATCAAGCTTGTTCTCTGGAGACAACTCTCCCCAGGCCTTTGGATATTCATCCTCCTCTTCTTTGTGATTACTAGCCTCCATATTTGTGATAATAATATCTAATTTAATTTAGCCTAACTAAAGTCAGAGTATTTATAAATAAAGGCAAGGCTAATAGTATTTGTTAGGTTTATCACTTTAGTCAATACTAATGTTCTATTTTTCTATTTGGAAAAATGTTCTTCTCATTCATTCACGCTGTATGGGGTTTTGGGGTTTTGGGGTTTTGGGG